TCTTCTGGCTTGTCGTGTTTCAGTCGAGAAGTCAGCTGCTAGCTGTACCAGGGCTCCTTTATATGTTATTACTTCTTTCTCCCTTGCTGCCTTAGGATTCTCTATATGTCTTTGATATTTGTCATTTTAATGATGATGTGTCTTGGAGTGAGCCTCATTGGGTTCCTCTTGAATGGGGCCCTCTGTACTTCCTGGACCAGTGAGGTCTTTTCTCTCCTCAAATTGGGGAAATATTCCATCATTACGTTTTCGAGGAGGTTCTCTATCCCTTGCTCCCCTTCTTCTCCTTCTGGTGTCCTTATTATGCAGATATTAATTGCGTTTCACGTTGTCCTGCATTTCTCTGAATTCCTCTTCCATTCTTTTTGAGTCGTTTTTACATTTCTTGTTCTTCTGGGAGTTTTTTTTCTACCTTGTCTTCCAGCTCGCTGTTTCGATCCTCTGCTTCATCTAGCCTGCTTTTGATTCCTTCTACTGTGTTCTTCAATTCAGAGATTGTATTCTTCATTTCCCTTTGTGTCTTCTTCATTGTTTCTGTGTCCTTTCCCAGGTTGATATAGTTTGCCATAAGATCCCGATAGTTTCCCTGAAGTTTCTCATAGTTATCTTTGAGGTGGCTGAGCTCATTGAGCTTCTTTAGAGCCATTGTTTTCAATTCCATATCTGATAGTTCACTTGCCTTTATTTCATTTAGCTCTCTTTGTGGGGATTCCTCCTTTCCCCTCATTTGGGGGTAACTTCTTTTCCTTCCCATTATTTGTGAGAGTCCTTTTTTTTTTTTTTTTTTTTTTTTTTTTGCCTCTGCTTCAATTGATATGTTTAGATTTCCTGACTTTGTTAATTATACTTCTATGGTAGTAGGCGGGTCTTTTTATTTATTTATTTTCTTTTTTTTCTGGTTCTGTCTCTGATGATGTCAGTTGTTGACCCTGTCTGAACTTGGGCCGTTTGTTTGAGCCTTTCAGGAATCTCCTGTCTGTGTCTGTCTCCTGCAATTTGTCAATCTGGTCACTCTGCCCTCATCTATCAGGCTTAGGCACCACAGGGCAGAGCAGTGTCTCCTGATGGTGGGACTCTCTTGTCCTTATAGGCTGCTGTCACTTGGGAGTGGTCCACCTGAGCATGATGGAGAACGTGGACTGGAGGCGTCAGCACCGGCATCCTCCCTCCGCCCCCCGCCCCACTACTCCCTTAGTTCTCTCCCCAGCGCCTCATTCTCCAGTCTCTCCTCAAGTCTCCAGGCATCTCTGTGTCCCCTTTAACCAGGGGTCCACTATCTCTGCAGGCAGCTCTGCACTCAGCACCAAGGCCAGTACGGAAGTCCTGTCCCTGCTGGACTGTCCTGAGGGCAGGGCTATTATTTCCTTTCTCACTGTTGCCTCTTTGCGGCATGGTCTGCCTGCTCAAAATGGAGACTACTGAACGGAGGAGTCAGCTCCGGGACTCCCTGGTTACTCCTCCAGTTCTTTCCCCAATGCCTCTGTCTCCAGTGTCTCCTGGAGGGTTTCTCGGCATCTCTGTGACTCCTTTGGCCAGGGGTCCCCTATTTCTGCGGACCGCGTTGTAGTTGCGCGCCGGCCCACTCCTGCACTCCGGCACTTGGCAGTTTAAGACCAGCTATTGTCTGCTCTCCGGCTTCTGCCTCTTTGGGGGTGTCGTCTGCCTGCGCAAAATGGAGAGGACTAAGTCGGGAAGGAGTTAGCTCCCGGAATCCCTGGCTGCTCCTCCAGTTCTTTCCCCAACGCCTCTGTCTCTAGTCCCTCCTCAAAGGTCTGCAGGCAGCTCTGTGTCCCCTTTGGCCAGCGATCCTCTATTTCTTGCAGCCACTCTGCACTCAGGACCCCAGCCCACGCACATGCAAGCTCTGGGCGGAGCGTACAGAAGGCAGGTTTATTGATTCACTTATGCCTGAGCCAGTTGGTACGCTCCGATGGTTCCTTACCAGTCTTTCCTCAGGCACCAGCCCACTCTCCTGCCACCTCTACCTAGAGATCAAGGAAGGCAGCTGCCACTGCAGATATTTGCGTTGGCCCTTTAAATGTCTCTTTGCGTCTCCAGCCACCTGTCTCTGGCAGAAAGCACCCCAAGCTTTTCACCATTGCGTTTTGTCTGTGTTTTTCTGGTTTCAGATCCTGTAGTCTAGGGGTCCCTTTTATGATTCAGACCCTGTTCTCAGAGGGATACAACTGGCCGTTTCAATGTCCCTCTGGTGCTGGTGCCTGTGGGCGCCCAGCCCACCCTCTAGAGCCTCCACCGCACTTCTCACCCATTAGGATGTGTGAAAGTTGATTATACTCTCTGTCCTCTCACTCTGTCGTTCCATTGTTTTCCAGGTGATTTCTCCACTATTTAGTCGCAATTCCAGTTTGGTCTTGTGAGGAGGTCCGCGTGACTCCCATTCACTCCTCTCCCATCTTCCGTACCAAAAAAAAAAAATCCATTTTTTATAAGACATAAGAAAATTGCATAGTGTTTCCACATTGCTGCTCCCTGTATATTTTTTCTTAATATTTTTTGCAAAACAATGCAAATAATTTAAAAGTTATTTAGATGTAGACTTCAAACAGAAGTTATATTTTAAAGCCAGTGTCTCTTTTCTATATGTTTCTCTTTTTTATTACTTTTCAGTTATCCGAGTAAAAATTATCAGAGCATCTTTTTACTAGAGGTACATATAATTGTTTTCTAAACAGAATTGTTGCAAAGCTAAAGCAAAGCAGGTTACAAACATAGCCTATGATTTTCTTGATTTTTGCCCTTCTTAAATGCAGGATAGACTATCTAATCACTGATGAGCTCTTGTACTGCCTGGTATTTAAGCTTAGTTTGGATTGAAATTTATACTTTTCAATTTGAGATTAAAATTCCTTCTTTTTTGTTGAAGTATTTTAAACCTGTACAAATATTTGTGTATGTGTGTAATACATACAGTAACATTCTTAGACATCAATCTCAAGAAATTTAACAGATACACTAATATTATTTAATGTATAATTCATATTCAACATTTTTAGTTGTTTCCCCAAATATTTCTATAGTTATTTTTCCCCCAACTTAAACCAATATAGCGTTATGCTTATTGGTTATCTTGGTCTCTTTACTCTCTTACAATCAAAAACCCCACTGACTTCTTTGTCTTTTATGGCATTAACATGTTTCGAGAGCCCCACAATCTGTATTTGTCTGGATTTATCTGATTGTGCCTTCATGATTACATACAGAGTAAACAAACTGGTAAAATGGTGATGTGTATTCCTCATTGCATTATATCAGGAAGCACCAAAATTATGTTAGTCTGTCTCATAATTGCTGATGCTAAATGAAATCACTTTGTTACTGTGGTGTATGCCAGATTGCTCCTTCTAAAAGTACTCTCTTTTTTTTGTAATTAGTAATTTGTGGCACATATTTTGAGACCATGTGAATATCCTGTTTCCTGTAACATTTCTCCCAGTGTTTTAGTATTCAATGATAATCTTTCTCTCAATTATTTGACTAGTAGTTTCAAAATGGTGAGTTTTTTCTAATTTATCATTTCATCTGCACTTATTAACTGACTCTCTTCTTTAAACAGCAATTCCCATCCTTTTAAACATGATTTTTTTTACTATGAACTCATCAATTATTAGTGTTTTAAAATCCATTATGATCAGTACTATTTCGGATGGCCAAATGTTCCCAGCTTTATTTTCTGCAAGCCCCTGTTTGTCAAGTTCTTATGTCCTTGGATATATCTCCATCTAACTTTGAACATTTCTTTGCTTCCTGCAAAAGCATGTATTACCTTCACATTCTATGTTCACTGCTCCAGATTTGGAATCACTCTTTTTCTTCAATAGACCCCGGTTTCTTTTATTGGGAAATGGTGCATGTGAATCAAAATGTGGGCACTAGGTATGCTCGTATCTCGAGTCATTGTCTTTCTGTTCTTTTAGTGGACAGAACTGAAAAATACTTCTAATCCCTTTCATATATTTGTATATTTATTCTATTTACAGTGAGAACCTTCATTTGCTCTATTTTAAAATACACCTAAACAAGTTTCAGGATTACTGTGTCAGTACAATATCCAGCAACAAATCTATTATGTATAGCATTTCTTTGTAATTCTCTTTGCCCCCTAAAACAGATCTTACTAAAGTCAGTGTTCTATAATTAAAATTTACTAGAATTTCCCTGGCCAAGTAGCTCAGTTGATCGAAGCATTGTTCTGTACACCGAAAGAGTGCAGGTTTGATCCCTGATCAGGGCGCATACCTAGTTTACAAGTTTGATCCCCAGTTGGAGCATGAATGGGAGGCAACCGATCAGTGTTTCTGTCTGTCTGTCTCTCTGTCTCTCTCCACCCTCCAAGTCAATGAACATAGCCTCGAGTGCAGATTAAAAAAAAAATTTACTTGAATCTTTTGTTCTGTGGTTTTGCATTAGCAATTTGAAGTAAAATTAGTTTTGTTTCTGATTTGTTTGAATTTAGTTTTAATTTTAAAGTTGCTTTTTCATTCTTTTAAAATTCAAATTTATTTTGAAATATCTAAAATATTTATGTAGCTCACAAAGATTTACCACTTCTATTCTTATTGCTTTCATCTGGGTACTACATTCTACCACTTCCACTTCCCCTTTTAGGAAACCATTTTCAGTAGAGTAGTAGTAGTATCCTTTCTACGTATGTGCATGCAACAGAGAGGAGGGTGGAAAGAGAGACATGTGGATTTTGTCTCACTTATTTATGCATTCACTCATTGCTTCTTATATGTGCTTTGACCATCGAACCCACAACCTTGGCATAACAGGGTGATACTGTAACCAACTGATCTATCTACCCATCCAGGGCCTCCCTTTCTTTATTAAACACAAAAGGCTAAGATTCTCTCTTATATTACTCATAAGAAGTTATTTTTAAAAGAAGAAACTCCTAATTTTTTAGCTTTTTATAATAACATACAGTTGTTACAATTGGAAATTTTATTTTTATGTTTCTTTGTCACTCCTATGAACAGGGGGACCTGGACGATCTACTATGCCAACCCCAGGAAACACTGCCGCCTTTCGTGCTTCCCTCTGGACCAATATGGAGAAGCTTGTGGATCATATTTGTACTGTTTGTGGACAGGTAGATATTTTAGAGAGTGAAAAGAACATAAATTACGGATTAACTCCTGGGCATTTCAAGTTATGTGACCTTGGGCAGGTTTCTTAAAATCTCTGAGCATTCAAAATAACTAAATTTAGTTGATTATCATGTATGGAAAGGCTCTGGCAAAATGCCATTTCCCTTCCCTTGCTTTTTCAGGTACCTACTCTTCATACTTATTTCATTTGAAAATACCCAATTACGTACATTTTCCCTCTCTCCCCCTTTTTAGGTACAACATCTACAAAAAATATTAGCCAAGAAGAGAGATCCTGTTTCTCACATTTGTTTCATTGAAGAAATAGTTAAGGTAGGTTTAAGTGAAAATATTTTTGTCTCTTCATTGAAGAATGCAAGAAGATAATGAGTCAGTGTTGCTTGTGTTTCTATCTTACAGAGAGGCTACATGTCAAAGAGCTATAAAATTAGTATATTTCTTGAAAACCACAAATATTTTTTTGCAATATATGTATAAACACATTTGTTTATTGAGTAGCTTCTTGTGTAATACTAGTTATAGACTAATTTCTGAAATGCATATAGTAATTTCCCTTTTCCTTTAATATAAATGATTAATTATAAATGTCTTTTAAAGTCCCACTAGAGAATAAGATGAAACTTTTTGGTAAATAAGAGATTTAATTAGCAGTTCTTATAATGTCTTATAAAGTCTTCACTGAAGATGGTAGGATCCTTTCAGTTGTAAATTTCTCATAAACAGGACATTGCTATATTCATGTTCCAAATTCTGAAATCTCCCTCCTCTTATGCACCAATCTGCTAGCCTCATGAGCAATAAGGTTTCATTCTGTGCATAGGAAACCCTGACTCTACATTTCATTCATTCAATTTGATATGTTTTTGATAATGATTAATAGAATGACTGATTATTCATTATTAAATATTAACAACTGGGGCTCCAAAGAAAAAATTTCTCTAAGGTTCTAGTGTCATGGTCACTGGGAGTGTTCACAGAACTTAGCAGATGGTCATGCTTGCGCCAGTGATTTATTATAGTAAAAGTATATGAAGCAAAATTAGCAGGAGGAAAATGTGCATATGATGAAGTCCAGAGGAAGCCAGGCACAAGCTTCCAAGGGTCCCCTCCCACTGGAGTTAGACAGGACACTTCATTCGTTAGCCAATAAGTTGTGACATCATTCAAGAAATGTCTTCCAGGAAAGCTTGTTTTGAAGCTGGCAGTCCAGGGATTTCATCAGAGGTCAGTGCCTGGCACGTACCAAAATAGTAGACCCAGAGAAAAGCAGGTGTTCAGCATAAACCACATTATTTGTACTAACACTTTATATTCAGTGAACACTCCTATCAGAGAATCATGGGGACCCTCTCAAAACGCAAGTTTTGATGCTAGGCAAGGATCAGAGTGTTAGCAGGTATTTTTAACTATAGCAGTCTAACTTGCTATGTTAACTTTTTCTGCACATATACTTAATACGTTAGTACATACCTTCTTACGTTACCCTGCTTCGTGTTTGGCTTTTAATTGTGTGAAAGAAACAATAAGATGCTTTTGGCAATTTGTGTAGTTATTAGTTTTTTACATTTACGAGTAGATGGGATTACTAATATTGGGTGTTCATTTTTATAGGCAAACTACTTACTGTACATGAAGTGTTACCATTCATTTCTTCTGATTTTGATCATCCTTCTACCCAAATAAATTAATTTAATCTTTATATGAGATGTCTTCGTTTTAAGCTCTTACTGGTTAATCTTTTGTATATTTTTTGTTTGTTTTTAATAGTTTACTTAATATTCTACCAACAACGTGTGAACAACTATAAGGAAACCATTTTAAGAATATCTAAAAAAATTAAAAAAAGGAAAAGTGCCATTTAAAGAGACTTATGTGTGCAATATTATTTCATTGAGCAGAGTTTCAACATTAAAAACATATTAATTCTCATCAGGGTTAAGTTGTTACAGTGAATGGACACTGGCAACTTACGTGGTCAGGTTTTAAATGCATGTATTGAATTATTACCAATTAAAAAGGATCAGTAGAAATAGGAATATATGATTTCATCTCATTGACCCTTTTCATTTACTTTCAAAATTTCTTATTTAATAAAATAAAATAAAGACTGCTTTTTCAAATACTGTTCTAAAGCTATTTAAGTTTATAGTCATATATAACGCACACATATTTATATTTACATGTAAATTTTAAAGTAAATTTCCAGCTGATATTTTTTTCTTTTAGGGTATATTTATGAAATAAGAAATAGTTCCTTTTGGAATTCTGTGTACTTAACTATATTATGAAAAGATCAGTCTTTTGTTAAAAGTCTAAAATTACTTTTGACCCTCCATGTGTACTTAGCTTTATAAGAAACTGTCTTCCAACATGGCTGTAACATTTTTGCACTGCCATTAGCAAAGAAACAGGTTTTGCTGTTGCTTGGGAATTCCAGGGCAAGGAAAATATCTGTTATATATTACAAAGATAGCACATAAATTTCACTATATTTACTATAATTTCTTTAAAATAGTCTTCATTTACAAAGCTATAAACAAGTATTTTTGCTAAATATAAACTACCATGGAACATTATTTAGTTAAAATATTATCAATGGCAGTAAAACCTTTTTAAAAAGCATCAGATTTTTAGAATGATTTGAGGCCTTTAAACCTATGAATGTTCTTTTAAAAAACCAAAAATGTGTAACTAATTCATGATAAAACAATATTAGAATTATGCTATGTGCTTTCTACAATGCCTGTTTAGAAATTAAATCTTTTTTTCCTAGGGAGATTATTTCTAGTGAATATCTTTTTTAATTGAAATTTACATAGATTTTTAAAATATTTATGTGTTAAGTTTTTGTAAGAAGTCTGTATTTTTAAGTTCATTAAAAGCTAAACTAATAGGTAGTTTCTCCTTCATTTATAATATGGAATATAAACAAAGTTACACAATTAATTTCATGTCAGTAGGAAAATTAAGAATCCATTTCCCAGCTTGCTTTGTTTTTGAACCATTTGATTTTAATGCTTCTGTAATTCACTGTAAACTCTGATGGAATTTCTGTATTTGATTTCTTTTTGCCAACTTGTTTTTTTTTATAAGAAATGTATTTTGCATATTCTTTTGTTAAATAATTTTTGTAATTATTATCTTTTTATTATCAGTACCTATGGATTCTTAAGAAAAAATTGTTTAATTTTTACAGCAGCTGGAGGTTTATAAAAATTGAGCAGGAAGTACATGTGTTAATTAGGTTATCATAATATCCATTATTCATTATGCAGACCTCACAGAACTGTTCAATGCAATGAACTTACTCTAGTGTAAACTATGGACTTCAGTTAATAATAATTAATTAATTAATAATGGTTCATCTGTTGTAACAAGTGTACCGCACCAATGCAAGATGCATAGTGTAAATGCACAGTGTCATGTATCCACCATTATAATATACAAAATAGGTTCACTAGCTTCACTTCCTGAGAAATCCCTTATGCTGTACCAATTCATTCTTCTCCCACTTCTTTCTTTAACTCCTAATAACCACTCATCTTTTTACTGTCTTTATTGGTTTGCTTTTTTCAGAATGTCATATAACCAGTACCATATAGTAGGTAGCCTTTTCAGACTGGTTTATTTCACTTAGTAATTTATATTAAGGCTCCTTATTGTGTTTTTGTGGGTTGATTGCTCAGTTCTTTTTATTATTGAGTAATACTCCTCTGTGTGGACGTACCTTGTTTGTTATCTATTCACTTACTGAAGGACATCTTGTAGCTTCCATTTTTATGACTAAAACTGCTATAAACATTCATATGCAAGTTTTTCTGTGGAAATAAATTGTCAACAGACTTGAGTAAATACTGAGGAATAAGCTTGTTGGGTCATATTGTTAGACCACATTTCGCTTTGTAAGAAATCACCAAACTGACTTTCAATATTGATGTATCATTTTACATTCCCACTAGCAAAGAAGTAGAATTGTTGCTCTGCATCCTCATCCAGCATTTGATATTGTCAGTGTTTTAGATTTTAGTTATTTTAATAGGTGTGTATTGGTGATATCTCATTGTTTCAACTTCTATTTCCCTATAGATTTTTAAAATGTTAATTTATGGAAAAATACCTTCATTAGTTGAGGGCCTAAGACTTTATCCATAGGAATAAAGTCCTGCCATCCTTGTTATTTAATAATATTTATATGTTATAGTTAATCCAGGTGCTTAAAATGTGTTAAAATATTCTGAAATAACTTTGTAAGATTAAGTAAATTTTTTTTAGCATTTGGAAAGCCAAATCTTAAAGGTCTCCTTTCTGAATACCTATTTAAATAGTGCCAAAGGCAAGATAGTACAGTGAACTGGGGCCTTGTGCCTTGGTATAGACGGAGCTAAGCATTTTGCTATCGATTATGCAACCATGGGTAGGTTCTGTAATCTTTCAGAACATCAAATACCAAATGAGGATGGTAATACTGCCTATTAAACTCTGGCATTCTGAGGGAAAATGAGATAAAGTAGACTTAATTCAAAGATTGGCTCATTAACTTGCTATCATAATTATTTCAATATTTTGTTTTTAAACCTTGAAATTTTTATCTAGGTATATTAAACTTACCATGTGCTAGATAATGTAGAATCCTGCCATGAGAGAAAGTCAGTTTTGACCCTGCCTGGGTAGCTCAGTTGGTTAGAGCATTGTCCCAACACGCCAAGGGTACCTGCAGGAATCAACCAATGACTATATCAGTAAGTGGAACAACAAATCAAGTCTCTCTTGTTCTCTCTTTCTAGCTTTCTCTCTCTCTAAAATCAATTTTAAAAAACAAAAAGTTTTGTTTAACAGTTCTAGTAACATGCTATGCATGCACGTTAATTCATTCAGAGTATCAGAAATTTAAGAAATGATGCTTCCTTAAATAAGACAGTATCAAGGATTTACTATGAACGTGTCCCAGTTGTATGTCTCACTTTACTAAGGAATCATGGGATTAAGATCTAACCTTTATTAATTTTGCAGCCATAAAAACAATGAAAATTATTTTCCTTAGTTCTGGTCTGCGAGGTCTTGTCAGAATTGTTAAAGTCATTTATACTCTTTTATTGGCCAAAAAAAAGTTTACTTTAAAAACTTTTCTTTTGAAATTAATATTGCCAAGTCTGCCTTAATGTTTGCAAGATATTTTATTCCAGATGACAGAGAGTACATATTAGTAGTATTCAGAGGCTAATCTTAAGAACATTCGAGAAGAGAAAAAAGTTTCACCTGATGATAGTTTCTGTGATGTTTTATTAGTTCAGAAGGTCTTGCAGTAGATGTTC